CTGAAATTAAGTAAAGCTTATAATAAGCACTTAGACATTACTTTTAAAGGACAAGAATATATATATATTTTTTTTTTAAAAAAGACCCAGTTAAGAACTAAACATTTGCATCAAAACACTCTTGTGCCCAATTAATGGGCTCTGCGGTCTAGAATTATAACCTTTATAGAACAAGCTCAGGCTAGATGAGGAAAACTCTCCTAGAGCTTGGAGTTGTTTGGTTTCCGTGTCATGATTTACTTGGGCGTGGATGGGGCTGTCACACTTCCTTATATGGGGAAAGAGGGAGATGAGCCATTCTCAGAAGTTCTGTTGATAGGACCATGGCTTCTTTCCATCTTCTTTCCTCTTAGTGGCGCATTGTGTCTTTCCAGGTTCCACCGTTTGGCATCCCGACTGTAAGCAGTCTACTAAGACAGAGGAAAAACTACGGGTAAGGAAACAATTAGAACCATGATGCCAGGTGCACTTGTAGGCCATGTGCTTCAGAATCATTGATTCTTGGGGCTAGGGTTTGGGTGACATTACTTTTTCCTGACTTTTCCCCCCAGAGAAAACCAAGTTCAAAGGCCATTTGTCCAGGGAAGGGGATGCTCTCCTACCTTAAGTTTATTGTTATGTTTTGTGTTCCAAATGCTTGTGTTGGGTAAAGAAAGCCCTGCCTCACTAGTCAGCTTCTTAGGAAAGCATTCAAAGGAAAAGCCAAACCATAAAGATGGGAGAAAATCAAGTTCAACATCTGGTGACCTTCTCATCAGATTTCTTTATACTTAGTTCATAACACACCACTTCAACCCAAACTCTGCATCCATTGCTTGGCTCGTGGTGCATTTTACTGAGCTCTCAAATCCAAATTCCCCAGAGAAGCCTGCAGTTCCAAAAGCTGCTGATTTGTCAGATAAAACCTTTGGGGAAAGTAACGATGAGCCCAGATCTGTAAATTAGTCAATTCTCAGAACACCTCCAGATGGTCATATTTTATCTGTGTCAGAAGCAAAGAGCTGCACACAGTTGTCAGGTCATGATCATAATCTGTATCCTGTTCAGAAGTCCCCTGTTTTTCACGTGGTCTATGAAGTATTTTAAAGAGGGATAATCAGACTGAATCGCAGTCCCTCAGTTTAGCTAACTTAGTGGTACCCATGGAAAAACTGGAGTTCGACTGCACTCCACTTCCTATCTTAAGGAAAAGAATGGCCTGGATTTAGTCTGGAGGCCAGACTCCAGTGTGTGGAGTAATGTCTTCTC